ATAAATAGAGAAAGCTATGACTGTCTGTAGGCTCACCAACATTCCTTGTCAAGGTGTAAATATCATGTGGTGAGGCAAATGATTTGAAAATGTTCGTCCTATGAATAAAACAAGGAACTTGTTTAAAGTGCAGATAGTTGTCTATGCATAGATAGTGTTTATGACAAGCAACACTGGGGAAAAACAAAGTGCTCAACAATAAAGGAAATAGTAAGTTGAATATTCTACAAAAGATGGAATATATTGGCAGCCATTAACTTAGAAAAAAATTGCTTATAACCAGGTCCATGATGTTGCATGGCCCCAAGCCCAATGTGTTCACATTATTGTACATGTGAACAGTGTCTCTTGAACCTTTTACTGTGGTGAATAAGCTGCATGATTCTACACAAAAAGCTTGTTTATAATTTAATGTAAATAATTAAATTCATGATTCAACAGTAGCATGTGTGATTATGAGTAAATATGAGAAAATATTAACAGTGTTATCTTTTAGTTGTAGGATTGCATATAAAATTTTTCAAGTGTTCCACAATGGGAATAAATGACTATATTAATTTATAAAAATGTTTATTCCTGTAAAAATAACAGCAACTAAAAACAAAAGAAAATGACAACAAAATTTTAAAAAACAAAAGTTTGGCTTCAAGTCATTGCAAAGACACTTCTCAGATGTGAAATCTGAGTTTCTGTTCCCTTATTATTAAAACAAAGAAAATACTTAACTCATAGAGTTATTGCAAAAATAGATTGTAAAAATAGTATTTGGGATGTAGTACATGCTAAATAAATTTAACCATTATTATTAATCTTGTAAGTAGTTCACTAATATTAAAACAAAAACAAAAACAAATTTATCTGGAATATCCCTTTATCACCTAAATCTTCAGTCATTAATCCTTAGTAGATAATTAAATTCCCTTTAAATCATGTATATCATCCAAAACATGCACCTTGGAAAAAAACTAAAATTCCCCTTTCTTACATGCTGGTTCCCTAAAGGAGAAGGTTAAATTGAGTTTAGGGCAAATAACTCAGAAGATAAATTCCACTTAATGAGATAAATTTGCAGTCAATGCAGGTTTCTTTTTCTAAAGTTCTTAACTCTGTTCAGAGTCTTTCTATATCCCCAACAACTCTGACAGGTGAGGATTCCATCACTGCATTTTAGTGAGAAGTATAGTAGAAGTGAGTAAAGAGTTGGGTAAGAAGTTTATAAAGTATTAAAGAATGAAATTTTTACAGTAAGGTGGGAGTGTTTATATGGTTGGAGAATGAGACATAGTTTCACAGAATTATTGGGAATAAAGCATTTTACTGATCATTTGAGCAAAACAGACCAGTGAGTCTCATATAATTATTGGCTTGGTCAGTCTGTTGCTTGAGCAAACCACCCTTGGACTTTTAACCAGGCAGTTTAAAAGAGAAAAGTGAAATGTTGAAGACTTCAGCACAAATAGTATACTGTAAATTGGTTTTCTGAGGTAGCTTTCTAAACTGAAGATGATTCTTTGGCTATTCTTAAGCAAATACTTACCCTCATTAAATCTAAGTTTCATGTATAATATTTTCAAAAAAATCTTGAAATTATTTAATGAAATGCAATACTAAATGCAATTTTTTAATATGAAGTAAGTAAGGCATAGAGGCCAAAGCTACAAAACAGATTTAAAGTTTAATTAATTTGAAAAAGGACAAATGTCTAAATTTATGCACAATGTGTCCATGATATTGGAGTAAATTATTTAAGAAGTTACCTTTATGTTCCACATCATATTGTCTTATCAGACAAAATATTACATTACAGCCATGTAGAACAACAAACATAACTATTAAAAAAAACCTAAGTTACTTGCAAATTATTTTAAGTATCCAGATCTTGAAAGATCTGAATTTAAGTGTTCCAGCTTAGACATTCATTTATTGCTGTCATTCACCATTAATTGCATCAGCAGGTTAGAGTTATATTGAATATTTTTTTAGTTAAATAAATATTTAACTTTGGTAGAACATATTACAAGCCAGACAATCTATGTCTAATTAATGTTTTGCCTGACTTTTCAAAATATTTTTAGTCTCTTTCTAATGGCCTGTTATTTTTGCCACCAAGCATCTATCCCCTTTTGGATAATATTACCCTCATCCTTCTTTACCCCACTCTCAATCTATAAACATTGGATTAATTTCATCCCATCCCAAGTCAAGTGAGATTGCATGAACCATTATGAAGACTTTGGCTTTTATTAAGACTGTAGTTAAATTCCATGTATGTTTAGAAGGTAGGGACAAAAGTACCTATGATTGGATGGGGAGTGTGTGAGAAAAAGACTAGTCTATGATGAACCCAGGTTCTCTGGCTTAAGCAACTAAAAAGATGTTTCTCCATGTTTCAGCTAGACTGCGTCTTTATATTTTGTAAAAAATATTAATATATAATAAATTTAAAGCATTCTATATCTCATATATTTCAAAAGTTTTCTTATTCTATTTTTGTTAATAATGTTTATGACATACAGATTTTATTTTTTTAATTTGCGCGGAGGTAAATTGATTAACATTTTCCATTTGTTTTCCATCTTGCCTTTCATTATTTTGCAAACATAAACAATTGCCTGTGTTTTCTGTTTACCATTTTACATGTAATATATTATAATATCTATAACTAATTTTGTATATGTCATAATTAAGGTATCAAAGTCTGTTTCAGTTGTCAATCATTTATTCTTATGTCATTATTTGAAAGGTTACTCACATCATCTACAAAATTATGTTTTGGAGTTTTCTTTTTACTCCCTTAAATATATCTATATTCTTCTTCCAATATTATACTATTAAAATTATTGCTGCTTTGGAATTTACTTTACTGTTTCACAGTTAAAGTTATAAATATTACTCTCATTATTCAGATTTTCTTGGCTCACATCAATAATTTGTTATTCTAAGTTAATTAGAAAGAGCTATTCATCTCTTATTTAGATTTTGATTGGAATCATGTTAAACTTATAAGTGTGTTTAATAAGAATTGCCATTGCTACAACAGTAAATCTTCCATTCCATGAAGATTTATTTCAATACTTGCAGAATTCTATCCTTATCACTGAATTTTAAAAATAAAATATATAACTGGGTCTAAATTTTGATCTCTTTTAGTTTGCTGGTTCTAGTTCATTCTTTCAATATGAGATCTGTATCTAATTTTCTTCAGTTGAGGAGAGTTTTCTTTCATCATATCTGTAATTAGTTCTGTTCTGTCACCTCTTCAGCAACACTAAGAAATTACATTTTTTGTATTTTGATCATTTCCCCAGAATTCCCCAATCTCCCCTATTATTTATACTACCTTATTCTGTAGGTTATTAAAAGTGAATTTTCTACATTATTGATCAATTCTACTCTTTCTTTTTTTTTATAATGTTGATACTAAATTTCATGTTGACTTTAGTTTCTTAACTCTGTCAGTTTCCCTTAAATTTAACCACAGTTACTTGTTTCATCACCTTGCTCTTCATGTATTCCTTCATGGATAACTTCTTTCTTACATATTATTGAGAAAACCAACCAAAGCTTTGTGTGATTTCCTTCTATTTCCTGTAATAAATCTGTTTAAAAGCCAGCCTTATTTCTAAATCTTGATTGTTGGAGCCTTTTTTCTTATGTTGCTGATGCTAAATTAGGCACCATTTTGCTGTTGCTGTTTTCCTGTTCACCTCTGCTTGAACAATGAGAGATGAATATCTAGCTCTGGCATTTGCCCATATAGACATCATCCTTGGTTCCTTTTACTGTCCATATGTATGGAACTAAATTTCTCTTTCTCTTAGTGAGCTTATGTACTGTTTTATGCACAAAGAGTCTGATTATGTATCTGGTGTCTGGCCAAGACTTACAACATACGTTTCTTCTAGACTGAGGAGGAAACTCTTTTCCTTCTCTTTCCATATGATAGATAGGAAGAAGCCTTTATTTCAGGACAATATAAATCCTTTACATTTAAATGCCAGAAACAGGATATAAAACTACAACTTAGATGTCTTTATTCATATCTACCATCCTGATGCTCAGAGAGGTATTAATGGAGGAGACTAGAGAAATCTGATGGTGCAACAGTCTCGACCTCTTTAAAATCTAGCTTTGGGGGACTACAAATATAGTTTCCATTCTTATAGTTAAGATTTTGCATTATTGAGATAATAGATACAGAGATAAGTTGTAGATTAATAATAATCCTGCAGTTCTAATCCTTCCAACATGACTCCTCCCCAACCTTTCTCTTCCTCTGTCTGATATACTTTGGCAGGAAAGGGTGTTGCTGATATTCCTAACTGAAAATGTCCATGTATTTTGTCATTTTTGTAAGTGTTTCAGTCAAAGGCAAGAGATAGTACAATTGCCTGTTTATTTTTCCCATTATGACAATTATTCATTGACTTTTAAATGACTAAATATTTTCATATCAAAAATTTACCAAACAACTTTTACTTCAAAGAATCTTCCCAGCTCTCCTCTGGTGATGTAGACCTTATCTAAATGCATATTCTTATCATTTACTATTTTTATTATTTTTATTCTCCAAAAATTCTTATTTACTATGTTCAACATTCACTGAAAAGTAATTGAGAAATCAAATATATAAATACAGGAATATTAAGAGAAGTAAAGAGGAAGTGTTGCAGTCAAAGAGAGATTTCGAGCAATCCACAAACGCATTGAAATGATTGATAAAGTTCTAAGGCAGACATTTATCTTTTTTCATTTTTATTGTGCATCAGGAAATGACTGTACACTTTTTTTCTTTGCTTGGGTAATGTGATTCCAAAATAAATTTCATCTAAGCCAAAAGAAAATTTATACCTTTTAGATATTCTAATATTTATGTATAATATAATCTAAAATATACCATGAACAGATATTTAAGTATATGAACTTTTAAAACATTCCTTAGCAAAGCAATATTTTCAAGTTTAGAAGATAACATCAAAATAAAAATTTAGTTTTCTTACCTTTCTGGATATGTCAGTGATGTTAACATGAGACGCTGAATAGTGTATTTGCATGTGGAACATTGCTGATTTGAGCTTTGAAAATAAGTCAAACCAATGCTTGAAATATTTACAACATCATTTAAAAATTGAGCAAGAATCTTGAATTCCTGAAGTTTATAAAATGACTTGTTCTTCCTAAACAGAAAATTTGATATACTAAGCTTATTTGTAATTTGAAGTATAATATAACTTTAAAATCAATATAATTTTATCAATGCAAGATAGACCAATATTATAGAAAAAGGCCAACAATAAAGTATTTGTTAAAGTATTTATTAAAATAATTTAAACAGTAGTTTAAAACAAAATAATAGTATAATATATGTATACCCACACTCAAATATTTTGGGAAAACTTTTTTGGAAAAAAGTGGGACATCTTGTCTTTCCAACTAGGTGTGTAGACTGTATATTTGTGTAAGATTAGTGAAGTCATATTTTGCCCCTTTTTTTAGACCCCTGAACAACTATCACCATTCTTTGAATAGACTGGGTCCTAAACTAATAACCCTTTGTTGTTCTGTGCACTTCATCACATCATGGGTCTGCTTGACTCCAAAGGAAACAACAAAGGAAAATAAGTAGGTGAAGAAAGATGATAAGCAAAGGAGGAGGAAAGAAAGGGAAGGAGGAAAGACAGGAGGGAAAGTGGGGGACAAGAAGGAAGGACAGAAGAGAAAAGAGAATGGAAGGAAGGGAAAGGAAAGGAAGAGGAAAGGAAATTTTTTAAAAACCTGGTGAAATAATTTTGTCCTTTGAGGTAACAATGACTTATTGCACAAAGGCAACAGTCACACATAGAATAGCTGAAAAGCAACCAGGGAGACACCCAGCACTTGTGCCATCTTATATTTGTCCCTGTTCTCATCTCCTTTTGATTCTCTACAGCAGCTAGGCCCAAAAAAGATTGTTATCACCCCCCTCAAAACCCACTCCTGCTCCCTCCTGGCAGAATCACTACCTCCTCTCTCACAGAATATCATGTCATTGGTCATATCTCTAATTTCTGTACAAGAGCTTATCTAGATTTCTCAGAGACACTTCAAAGTCAACATATTCAGAAGGAAAAGTGTGGTCTTCCCCTACAAATTCACATCTACTCCATTGGTTCCAAATACCAACTGTTTTGCTTCTGACCATCAAGTCTCTGCCTCCAGCTGAGCCCAGTCTGCTGAAATCCAGACACATATATACACTGATATTCACCATGTCTACTTGGGTATTTTAAGAATGCCTAAAGCTCAGTATGTTCAAACTTAATGACATCTTTCCCAAAACCCACCTCTCACCAAAAAAACTTAAAAACTTAGAAATTTCCTTTTCATTTAAAAGGCACCACCACCTATTGACCAAGCCACACAACTAGGCTTCACTCTTGAAATCATCCTCTCTTTTAACCCCTACAGCTAATCTAGGCTATATGCCTACTAACTTTATCCATGAAATATTCTGAATCTTCTTTGAAATCATCCTCATTTATCTCTACTGCACATGCTTTATCTCAGGGTACCATCGTTCCTTGCCTTTATTCTTGTAATAGCATCCTGTCTTTTCCCTCTCCTATCCACTGTGGTCAAATGGCCTTTCCAAAATAAAAATCCAATCCTGGCCCCAACCAGACTGCCCCAACTAAAACATTTCATTGGTTTTTATTTGCCCAGTGAATAAAATAAAAATCCTGGAACATGTCCTACAAGTTCTAATTCCTACAAAATCTAGGTGCTCTCTACCTCTCTCATTCTCTTCCTTTCCCTGCCTCTATCCTTGACATAATAAACTTCCTTCAGTTCCTGAAATGGGCTATGTTACCTCCTGCTTCTAGAGTTGTGCCTTTGTTAGCTCCTCTGCCTGGAATGCAGCAGAGCAGACTAATTCCTGCACCTCATTCTGGTCTCAGGCAATCTAAAAAGCCCTTAGAGAAAGGTTTAGTGACCCCACTAACCATATCACATCCCCTGCTTTATGTTCCCATACCTACCATAATTTAACTCAAGACATGTTTCACAGACATATTTTATTGATTTGTTTTTATAATTGTTTGATTACTTTTATATCCTTCATGAGACTGTCAGATTAATGAGGGTAGGACCATGTCAGTTTTTCTCATCACAGTATATTAAGCACTGACCACAGTGCCTAGCTCAGTGTAGATACTCATTAAAAATTGTTTGAGTACAGGAATGATGAACGTCATCAGTTTATTTGTATTATGTATTTGTAAAGCTTTTCTGCTCACTAGACTAAAATTATGTAAGGACAGAATCTAATTTGTCTTAAATGTTGTCCTTACTTTCTAGTACAGTTCAAGAAATTTTATTGAATGATGAAAGTGACTCCTCTCCATGTCTCCTAGCTCAGTGAATGGCATCATAATTTAAATAGTCGCCAAACTCAAAGTCACTCCAAATTGTTTTTTTCCTCTTCACTTTCACATGTTTAATTATCATAAAAACAAATCAATTCTAAATTCCAAAAACCAACTTCCACTTGATCCAGGCCCCCGTTAACTTTCATGTAAATTATTACAAAGGCCACCTTTCTGGACTTGTTCCACACTAATCTCCTCATTCCTCATCCATGTGGGGAGTCATTCTAACCTGAATATACAATATTGACACCTTCTGTTTAAAATCCTATACTGGCATATCAATATATTTGGCATCATATTAGGATCTGTAAATGGTTTTTAGTGAAATAGAAAATGATAACACTATAGCATTCAGTATAAAAATCAGAATGCAGAACATTTGCCAAAATACACCACTTTTGATAAACAAAAAATGATGTGTGCATGCATAGGAGCATGTACAAGAAGAAGAAAGAGGATGAAAAGGAGGAGATAGAGGTGGAAGGGAAGGAGGAGGAGGAAGAAGAATGGTTAAAAATCAAATGATAAATGTGAATATCCCTCGATGATGTAATTATAGATGGTTCTCATTTTCCACTATATAATACAATACATTTTCTACAGCAAGCAAATATTCATACTTTCATTTTGAAAAGGAAAATGAAGATCATTTGAAAGTCTCTGACTTCCCTGGC